GACATGTCGAATTGATCATCGACAGCGTTTATCGAAATAGCTGTTATTTGTATGGTGAAATACGTGTGCGAGTCGAGTCAGTGGTCGTGAGAAAATTACAAGATGTAGGATACAAGTTAAATTTTGTTTTAGGACATAGGAAATTTTTAACGAATTTATACATGTATTTTCTGATAATACTTAACGAAATGAGTAGAGGCCGGAAATATTAGATTTGAATTTACGGAACTTCTGAAATTTAATCCAAACTTCACCCAGATCTAATCTAGCTGAAACCTAATCCTAACTCAAAGTACAAACTCGACACTGTGATTCACGGTTTTGTGACTGCATCGGCCTGCATTCTTTTCTTTTTTTTTTTTTTGCCCTTATAATAAATTTCTTTCTTTGGTTGACATGTCGAATTGATCATCGACAGCGTTTATCGAAATAGCTGTTATTTGTATGGTGAAATACGTGTGCGAGTCGAGTCAGTGGTCGTGAGAAAATTACAAGATGTAGGATACAAGTTAAATTTTGTTTTAGGACATAGGAAATTTTTAACGAATTTATACATGTATTTTCTGATAATACTTAACGAAATGAGTAGAGGCCGGAAATATTAGATTTGAATTTACGGAACTTCTGAAATTTAATCCAAACTTCACCCAGATCTAATCTAGCTGAAACCTAATCCTAACTCAAAGTACAAACTCGACACTGTGATTCACGGTTTTGTGACTGCATCGGCCTGCATCGAATATGGCAATTTTTGCAACAAAAGTAACTTTCAATTTGAAAGTTTCTTAAACTTAGAAGCTACGTTTTCCGACTCTATTCGCCGAGTGTAGTATCTGAAAATACATACAGGGATCAGTTAAAAGCTTTTGGTGTCTTGAAAATACAACGTTTTGAAATGTAACAGAATACTTCGTTCAATATACTATGGAATTATCCATTATCAATAAGAAGCAATCTTAATTTTCCAATATCTTCTTTATAGAAATCGATACGTTCTGATTTAAAAACTGACAATGTATGTTCATCGATAGCTTCATCCTTGAAATGTGTGGCTCAAACGAAACTATAAATGTTACGATGTACTGTCAGCAATTGCAAAAGCTTGGAGAAAGATACCATCCATGTTTCAAGGGAATAAAATTAAAAAGGCATAAGTAGAAATTTCTTCACAGATTTTAGTATAATACTAGTTCGTTTGAAGCATCAGTTAATTAGAGTTTGTCGATCAAATTGCTGTTTCACGTTTCTGTATTTTATTTATCTCCACTGACTCGACTCGTTGACCGTCGTATAGAACTAAAGAGGATGAAACGCAGACCGAGGAGAAAACGAAAAACCATGGACTGAAATGCGTGCACTGTCTTTCGAGCGCCATTTCGTTTCTCTTTGTTCCATCAAATAGAAGGAGGAAGATTGAAAAGGAACGCGTTTCGCGATCAGATCCAGCGTTTTTAAAAGGATTCGCGGTATTCACGTGTAATTGCCGACGAATATATATATATTAAATTGCGATCTGTATACAGCATACACATGTATATGTACAAACGTATATATATATAAATATATATATACATATAAATATTATATGTATATGAAAGATGTCTAGAAGAAAGATAAACATTCTTACGTGCAAGGATTATGTGCTAGCCTAGTGCCTAATATACTATATAATATATATATATATACATTCGTATTTATAACGAGGGCGAACGTTTTATCGTTTCACCTGTGGAAAACACTTATTGTAAATATGAGTATGGAAATATATATGTGAGTGTTCAAGGAATACAATGCCAAATGAATCAGCCAGCAAAGAAGCCACCATCAAATTGTTTCCGCTTCGCTGTGGAGATTGTTGAGTACACCGTAACCGAAGAAAAAATAAGAGATAAGAGACAAATAGAAAATATTAATGATAGGATGAAAAGAAGAAATTAGGAATATCGTTGGTTCTACGAGATTTAACCCCTTGATGCGACGATTGAATTTTATGTTAAAAATCATCGGCCTTTATTTTACAAAATTAGATTCCAAGATAATTGCGACCAAGTTTTTGTATTTTAGGGAGTAAAGAGGATTACAAATGGACGTTCTTATCAGTATAACAAATTATGAAATCACGTATTATGAAATTTGGTTCAAGGGATGATTGCAATGAACTCTTTGTATCGTAAAGAGGATTACAAATGAAGGTTCCTGTCGGCACGAGCGTAAGAAAGGAGAACAACAACGAAAATAATCGTAACGAAGTAACGCGCTGGAACAGAATAAAAACATCTAATCGCTAAAGTTCTTATCTGCTCGAAGCGAAAACGTACTCCTTTAATGGGCTATACCTAAGTACGTGAACTCGTAAATCTTGGAATTCTTATAATTAATTGGAATTTAAATATCTGGATATCGTATTTTATTCAAAATAATGCATTGTTTATTAAACAAATTCCAAAGCGTCTGATTATTCGCAAAAATTCGCAAAGAACAAAAAAGCACGTAACATCATAGAGGGCTAGATAAAAATTGAAAGGGTACGTTTTCCTATTAATCTTCTACAATAAAATAATGGTATTACTCGACGACCAACCATCCAACAGGAATAAATGTCAGTCCAGTAAGCAGTCGTCAAGAAAATTCGAATTTACACTCGCATGCATAAAGAACAGAACTGGCAAAGAAGATGACAGTGAACACAGCCTGTTCGGAGAACCGATCGATGGATCGGAACCGTTCATACGAACAGTCTATTCATTCATCAATGTCTATCAGAAAACATTAGCAGCATCAAACGAACAGTCTAAAAGACGACGCACCATAAATTGAATCATCCGCTTCGGTGATCAGACCGCGACGACACATAAGCATTAAGGGGTTAAGACCCAGCGATGAGAAAGATAAAGAGAACTCGAGCGAAACGGGCTGATCAATTTGAGATGGTTTCTTTCTCGGCCGTCTCGTTCATTTTCCGCCCACCTGTCTCACCGAAAATTAAGAAACGAAGAGCGAAAGAAAAAATTAAGATTTTTGGGACAAATACGAGCAAAAATGTACACGATGGGATGCGACATGCTTCGAAACAGAACGGTAAATATATTGAAGCACATCAGAAGAGTCGAACGACGGGCGTAATATGTATCATACATCTGCTAAGTATACATATATATCGTAGTAGTCCCTCTCTGTTGACTTTTTGAAGCCAAAAAAGCGAGCGTGTGTGTATGTAAGAAAGAGAGAGAGAGAGAGAGAGAGAGGGAGGGAGGGAGAGAGAGAGAGAGAGCGAGCAAGAGGCACTCAGTGGAAAAAAAAATATTAAAAGAGCTTTATGTGTGTGGAGGTAGCACATTTAGACTAGTGACGCGTAGAAACTAACATCGGGAGAGAAAGGTAGCGAATGAAGCTTTCTTCCCCCTTCCTTGAGCTTTCTCAGCACCCATATCTCTACGTCCGGTCCGACAGAAGGGACTACCGCACCCTTTTGTCGCTCTTCCGTTCCGCTATATTTTCGCGCTTGGTATCACACATGTATCTTTGTGCACCAGCTATTTCATTTAATTATCTAGTTCGTTTTTCTTCTTGATTTTCATATCTATTCCTCTAATTTTTATACATATTTGTTTGTTTCTTTTTTAAAAATTGTTTCTTAATCACGCTTCTTTTTATCGCTTATTCGACAACCGATATCATTCTTTCATTGGTATACACATACACGTATGTACATACGTTGGTTCGCTTTGGTTTGATTTGGTGTGCGTGTGTTTAGTTCTCTTGGTTCCTTACGTGTCTACGCTTTGATGAAAACGGATTTTTGGCACTTCCCCAAAACCCCCCGCCGATCTTCTTTCTTTTCAGGAGACTAAAATTAATCGTTCGCGTAACGTGTTTGGTGATGTGTCTAGGTCTCGAGACGGAAACTCGATCGCGATATCAATTTCGCGGTAGACTCATTCGCTTCTATTGCTTCCAGAAACACGTAGTCTCTTCGCGCGGGACACGAATGTGCTTAAGTGAAATGTAGGGGAGTTTTTGTTTAGATGGAAGCGAAGTTTAGAAGGTTTCTTGTCATGTAGAATGTAGGATTTCTCAGACATGTGGAGTTCGGTGCGGAGCGAGCGATTTTGGCACTTCCCCAAACCCCCCCGCCGATCTTCTTTCTTTTCAGGAGACTAAAATTAATCGTTCGCGTAACGTGTTTGGTGATGTGTCTAGGTCTCGAGACGGAAACTCGATCGCGATATCAATTTCGCGGTAGACTCATTCGCTTCTATTGCTTCCAGAAACACGTAGTCTCTTCGCGCGGGACACGAATGTGCTTAAGTGAAATGTAGGGGAGTTTTTGTTTAGATGGAAGCGAAGTTTAGAAGGTTTCTTGTCATGTAGAATGTAGGATTTCTCAGACATGTGGAGTTCGGTGCGGAGCGAGCGATAGATTTATCGCGTATAATTCAATATTTACTAAAATATTGTCTCCATATTTGGAAACTTTCTTTGGGAGAAAATAGCAAAGATGTTAGAATATGATATAAAATAAATGATTCGTGTATATGAATATTTTATAACACGGAATTCTAAAGTAGGATCACTATATTCTAATTTTTCATATGTAACCTTTATTATCTAAGGATAAAATAAAAGAAAGTAAACCAGCTAACAGGAAGATACAAGAATAATAATAAAAAAGCAGATATATTTGTTAAAAGGACTATTTAAGAAAGAAAGAGTTACTATAAGCATATAGTTTATACTATATCTCAAAACATATGTTGGATTAAAATTTCTACTAGGTTCGTAATGTCTTTTATGTGACAAGAAGCTTTTCAAACCTTATTTTGAATGCATAAACTTATAATCGATAGTAAAACAATATACTTTAGACTGGGAACGATTTTCTCTTTATATCATCACCAAACATCGTTGTGAGTAATGCTTCTGCACTAACGGATTGCAAACAAACAAATGTACATTTTCTATCATGATATTTATCTGATACATGATTCTTATCCTTCAAGGTATAGACACAACTGTGGTTCATCATCAAGGACCTCTGATATCAAGCGCAGCCATAATTGGTATCGTCATCGCGGTACTATTCATTATTATTATCGTGATCGACGTGATCTGCTGTTGCGCGCATAAGACAGGTGAGAATATTTTTTTCGCATATGTTTCACAAACTTATCACGAGTTGCAATATGAATTTCTTCTAAAATTTAGAAATATTAGATTGCATAAGATTGTAACACCATCCGAAATAAAATTATAGCGAAATGTTGCAACGTAATAGTCATAACAGTTGCATTTGAAACGATAATATTGAGCTTGGCAATTTATATCTAAGAAAATTATAGCATATACAATATGAAGTAAAAGTGTAAATGAATTTATTAACAATCGTTTCACACGTGCGCTTAATTTCCCAACATAAACCTATTCACAATTTCAACATAAATTCTAAAACACGTCATAGCATTACATGCATGCGCAGCGCGAATTTATTAGCACTCGCGACCTCCGGAACGTATCTAAAATTGCAAACTGGATTTATATGAAATTACAACGTTAATTTGCTTGATATAGCAGCGCGAATTTATTTGGAATTACCCGTGGCATAAACTTGTTCCAAATTGCAACGCAGATTTATCTAAAAGTGCAACTGTGATTCTACGTGAAATTGCAACGTTAGCTCGCGCTAAGTGATCATATAGAATTATTCGGTTTTGATAAGTAGATTTTATCAAGTTAGAAAAAGTTTAGTATAAAATATAACTGGAGAACTCTTGACAAAAACAGTTCTCGTCAAAGTGTTGGATTTTTTAGATCAGAATGTATTTTCGTAACCAGAAGCTAGGCTTATAACTATACGAAAGTATTTAAAAATTTGTATCATTTTTCAAACATGGACAAGAATCATTTTTGTTACGAGCCCTTTAATTTTAAGGAAAATCTTTTTCACGATCGACATTGATATCTTTCTTTCTTGTTTTTTCCAATGATTTTATGAAATTTTTATTACAGGAATCATATATTACGTGTGTGAACGTTCCCGCCGAAAGCCAGTAGACGAAGAGGACGCGAAACTTGGCAGGTGAGGCTCATTCCAATCGAATTCTTTCGATACGCGTTACACGTACCTACATACTCACGATATTTAGATCGATTTACTTGACTTTCTTATATACATTATATATATATTTTACATTGTGCTTTGGCAAGTCTTTGGCGCTATATTTACCGTGTCATCGAACTTTGCACCCACCATCGAACTTACAAAACCTCCGTGAAACTCTTTCTTTCGCATCACAGAGGTCGAACGAATTTTTGTGACTCGAATGGAGATTCCTGTTGGAGCCGTGACTAACGTGCAAATTAGTTTACGGAACGTGTACGAGTTTCAAGAAAGATTTACCTGAATATTCGTGGAAATAGTACCGGTTCGTTATAGGGTTGCCGAAGTTTTCAACAACAAAAATTTCGATAGCTCTTATTTGAAAAATTCCATTAAAATAGGTCCGAATATAGGAAAGAAGATTTTTTTATATAATTGTGATATCATTTGGTTATAGATGTTTTATCCTGCTACGATCCTCGAATTTTGATATTTCAATCTTGCTTTGGTTTTTTTCATTTTTCATTAATGGATTCATTTCGTATATAGCCTCCGTTACTAAAATATAGAATACATATTAAAGTAAAATATTGTAAAATTAAGTAATTTAATTCGAACAACTGCAAATCATCAACAACTCGTTGACGATTAAATTAGATTTTCATCTAAATTCGATGAGACAAAAATGCTTATTAAATTTCTTTTATATCAGACATACATTCCTTATACTAGAATATTTTCAATTTATCTTTCATATAGTTTTTTGAGCCTAAATAATTACTTAATTTTGCTAAAAAGTGAGTTTTATTCTGTATTCATTCGTGTGCATTCTAAGTAATGCGATGTCCTTACTGAGATCCATGAATTCGAATTGTCCAGACTTTCTACGATCTCAGTCTTCATTCTTAATAGCATAGCGAGGGTACAAAATAACGGAATAAAAATCTGAACGACCACGAAGAGAAGCCCTTATAGTCCAAACTTAATGGATACTTGACAAATCGAAACCGGGCATCCTTTATAGCGTTCTTATCGAACGTTTGTAGTTGCAACTATATATATCCCGCAAAAAGGTAGTAGAGTGTCCCGTGGTTAAATCGTCCGGTTAACTCGTTAAAACCTAGCCCGCCATTAGGAGACACTTTGACTCTCTCGCATCTGTCTCTTTTTTTTTTCTTTACCGGTAGTCTTTACGGTTGGCGGTTTCCATTGCCGTATTGCGACCAAAAAATGGCCAATGTCGCCGGGGTCACGGCCATCCAAGACTCGGGTAGTGGAAAAAATACCATTAAATTGGTCAAACATACTGCCATGTAAGAGAGATACATAAGTGAAAATCAGTAAGAAGCATGGCCTCTCACGAAGGGGCTCCGACACGGCTTTCTACTTCGCATGATGTTTTTTTCGTTTTTTTTTTCTTTGTTTAACACTCTTATATTCTTCCCGTTTTTTATTCTTTATTTTCTTTTTTTTTTTTTTTT